CTTTCTCCAGGCTGCCCCCCCCCCCCACTCTGCCTCCCCGCCCTTCATTTTCTCCCCCCTCAATTTGTTGAGCAGTTGGGTTTTTTGGGTTTGTTTTTTCAGATGACCTCATCCCCCCTTCAGAACTGCTTGAGATGATAGTCTCCTGGATCTTTGAGGACCCCCGTTTGATACTCATCACCTTCTTAAACACTCCTATTGCAGCCAACTTACCAATAGGATTTTTAGAGCTCACCCCACTCACTGGACTGATCCGCTGGTGTGTGAAGGCCCCCTTAGCTTACAAGAGGAAAAAGAAGGCTTCTGTCTCAAATGGTCACCTCGCCAGTAAAGCTGCCAAGGAGTTAGCCACAGGAGATGATAGAGACTGTCACCAGCTGTATTCCAAACTGCATCTAAGTGTCTTACAAGTTCTCATGATGCTTCAGGTGCACTTAACAGAGAAAAACCTTTATGGCCGTCTGGGGCTAGTGCCCTTTGACCATGTGGTTCCACTTGTGGAGGAAATAAACAGACTGTCTGATGAACTCAATCCACTCAATGCCTCCAAAGAGATTGAACTGGCTCTGGACAGGTTGGCTCAGGCTTTGCAGGTGGCCATGGCATCAGGGGCTTTGCTATGCACTAGAGGTAGGTTGCATAGTTTTTTGTCAATTTCCTTTTTCTTTTTTTATAGTGCAATTTCTAGACTTCGGTGTTGTAGATTGCCCAATCCATTCCCTAAAACATGCTGTTTTCTTCTGATCTGGCGTACATGCAGAGTTTTTTGTATTTTGAGAATTGTTTTGCTCAAGATGGAGTCTTGCATGCTGGGACCTGTGGTATTCATCAGCTGTGCAAGAACGATGTGTAAAGTGGTATGATGAAATGTTCCTAATAAGTTTTTTTTTTTTTTTTTCATTTACATCTTTGGATTTAGTATTTTATGAGAGACCTTCCTAGAAAGGAGGTAGTAGGGTTGGAGTGTTGTAGTTGTGATACTCCAGGAAGTATATGAGAGGTAAGGATATTTTGTGATGTCATTTCCTGTACCAGTTGAATAGTTTGAAAAGCTGTTGGACAAGCTTTGGGGCATCAGGTGACCTGAGTGTCCACAGCTATCCTAACCATACATTTGGTTCATTAAAAGATATCACAAAAGTTCCTTGCCTCTGGAAGGGAGAATTGGGCTACAAATAATAATTTATTTCAAATCTATTCTGTTTGTCTTCTCTTCTGTTTCAGACGATTTGAGAACTGTGTGCTCTAGGCTACCACACAACAAGTAAGGCCCTTTTCCTAAAGCTCTGTTTAGTCTAATATAAATGTTAAAGCATTTCTAGGTGTGTGTCAAGATATACATCAGGACACTTGTCATGAAAAGTTTACAGTATGCATGTGCTTGACTAAAGTATGTCTTCCAGAAAACAAGTTATTGGGCTTGCTAACTGAGTAGCTTAGTAAAAAGTAAAGGCATATTCTCTAAAGGAGTTCAAATTAGATGATCCTAAGGCTTCTTTTGACCTTGGACTCAGAAAATCCCCACTTACGCAGGCTGATTAGCATGCACAGACCCTTACCCCTCCTCTCCTTCCCTTTCTTCCAGCGCGCACCCCCCCCCCCCCCAAAAAAAATATCCTGAGTCAGTAGGGCTCCACCTGCAGAGGTAAGCTTGGAGAATCATAGCCTGCTTTACAACAGTTAGATAAATGAGATTTTGTGTGTGTGGGGGGGTGCAGATATGAAAGCATCCAAAAAATTCTGCCCCATCACTGATTCCCATGTATTGTGCCCTAACCAAAAATGTAATGGCACTGTTCATTCTCATGGTAATCCCCACGTAATTTCTGGGAGGTGTGGGGGGTCCCTGATAATAGTCAGAAAGTTCAAACCTGAGTGTCTGTAAGTAGACTTTCGTAGTTGAAAATTTAGCCAGGTCTATTCAGGTGTCTAAGATGATTTTTTGGGCATCTGGGTGTGAAAATGTTCACCTAAATATTTGTTTATATTTAAAAATGAGCCCTGGCTGACTTTAATCTTGTTTTATTTTCATAAACATAAATAAATCCTTGGCAGCCTCTTATGCTAGCAGGGGGAAAATCCTCACCCCCTTTATCTGTCCTCTCCTCTCCCCTCCCCTCCTCCTCCCCCCACCTCCCTGCTGTAGTCAGTGGAAATGAGGACTAAACTTAAATTGGATAAAATCAGATATCTTTAAGATGAAGAAGCTGTTTTCTGCTGAAGTGAAAGCTGTTTCCCCTCTCAGTAGGACTGAGCCTCCCCAGAGCACTGCCCCTCCCCCCCACACCTACAGAGGTATAGTGCAAACATAAGTTGCTAGTCTAAGACTAGCTAAATGGCTACCAGTAGTAGTCCAGGAATTCAGTATAGGTGAATCTATCCTGTTTGCCAGATAGTTTTTGAAACCTGTGTTAAGGTTTAGGCTGCTGACAGCTAGCCTGCTGCTAGTACATAGGTTACCTAGGTTGAAGCTAGGTCAGGTATGTCTGTACTAGGGTGAAATCACTGTTGTAAGAACATCCTTGGGACCTGTGCACTCTCAGCCTGCTTTGTTGGTTGGGAAGAAGGGAAGGAGTGGCACAAGCCCATGTTCTTAAGAAATTTTGTAACTTTTTATCTGAAGATCAGTATGATTGCCAGGTTGCTTGATTAGGATGATGTTGCAACAGTTGGGGAAATAAGGGGTGGGAAGAAATTTTAAAGGTGAAAATTGGAAAAATGTTCAGATAAAAATGCCTCTGCAAAAACCTGTAAGATGTGCAGTATTTGACCCGTGTGATGCAGATGCCTTGTCATGAGTATTTGCACTTGAATTAAGTTTCCAAGTTTTAAAGTAGTGTTGTTGCTTGGGAATTAAAATGATGTGCAATGCTCAAGGACACACAGTTTACTTACAGAAGTGAGATGCAGTCAGGCCACATCATAGCCATAAATTGGAGAAGCCAATAAAAGTGCTTCTGTGACCTGTTTTTTTTCAGTTTAAGAAAAACCAGAAACAACCCCCAGCACATTCCTGCTCCCTCAAAAATCTGCATCATCATCTTGGTGCAGGAAAGTCCTGAGGCTGAAATCCATCACTCTCACTTTCTAGGCTCCGAGATGTAAAAAAAAAAAAAAACCTGTATAAATATGGAAAAAAACCTTACACATGCATCCTACAACATTTGTTGATGTAAATTGCTGGAGTTTATGTACAAGTGATAAATGGTAATAAATAAATATTGTTTTTGTGCATGTTTTACATGACTGTATGCCTTCAAATATACAATCTAGTCTTAGACTAGCATACATATGTTTGCACAAATATACAACCTG